CCGCCACCACGCTCTCGTTCTTAGAAGGATTAATCAAATAGTTGTGCTGCTGCATATTCTGTTGCAAAATCTGCTCGTAGGCGAGCGACTTGGAACTAAGTTCAATGCCAATATCCGCGTGAGTGCCAGAAGAAACTAATACTCGTGTAGCATCATCCACGTAGCTATGAAAAGCGAGGTCCAGCTGCTCAGTACCTCCATCGTCAGTGGGGAGATCAATAACACACCACTGCGCTGTCTCATCCCCTGTGTCTGCATACTGGTCCTGCGTGCTGCTGAAGACTGTGCCGATGTCTCTCGTGAACACTTTCACTGCCCAAGGATCGCCCTGTAGTGCTCCGACGTTTGGCTTGGCGAATAGTATACCTTCGGGTCCTTGAAAACACACTGCTGCATTGAGAAACCTATGCCTGCCAAAACGTGCTTCGTGCTCTCGCATGATCGCATCATTACTAGCAGCCAGTGAAGAGAAAGATGTACTCCCAAAAGCGTTTGTCACGTCTTTGTGGTCGCGTATGAAAGAGAGTCCTAGCCGTCTAAGTCGCCATCCAAGAGACTGTTGCACCATCATCGGAGTTTCCCTTCTTCTAGCCGCAACGCATCCATGTGCAAAATTCGGTTCGACATTGCGTTGAGAGGGACACATACAACTCGCAATAAAAGCCTTTCCAAACGGACAGAGGACGTGAATAACTCGTTTCCATGTAATTGCTACTCCATTCGAAAGATTCCAAGAAAGTGGCATCTCACTGGTACGATAAATCTTGTGCATCATGCTCTTTAGAAATGTGCGTATTCCTTTCATATCAATTGTTGCCTGCTCATGTCCAAGCCCTCGATATCTTCTCGAAGTTCGTCGATATGGGTGAAAAAGCATCCAGAACAATTCCAATGGTAGGGACCATGGTGGTGTCGCCTTGCGCTTCGGTGCTGTCTTAAAATGCCTTCCTATGAGCTTCAGCTTGTCGCGGGCCCAATCGAGCCCCTGCTGTGACCATGGAGAAGTGATGTCCTGATTTTCAAGTCCTTCAGGGCCGTAAAGATAATCATTCACATATGCTTCCCAACTTGGAATAAGATCCGCTTCCATACCTCCTTCACCAGATGAAAGTTGAAATCTCCTTTGCAAATCTGTCGATGTTGGGAGTGCGGATACAACTCTTTTGTAATTTCGCTTGCGAGGTCCTGTGCCTCGTGCAGATAAAAGCCTCGAGAGCCTCGCAACTTCCGCTTTACGTCCCTGCTGATAAGCTTGTAGTAGTTCTGCCGTCACATCTTGTCGCCAGGCCACCAGATGTTGTCGCCGTTGTTGTCGCTGTCGTTTTGAGAGATCCCGTAGTTGTTGACAAAGTGCCTCTTCTCGCTGCTGCAGGTCGTCTGTGCTTCCTTTGCATTCAGCGAGTGTTGCAAGTTGTACCCGAAGTTCGCGTCTCTGCTCAAGTAACTGTAGTGCTTGATCGGCGCGTTGTTTGTATCCAGCTGCTGGTTCGACAGAGGAAGTAAAAAACTGCTGTGCCTCCTGCGCCATCACCTGCAAGAGATACGCCCATTCATGATTAGGTGTCTGCTCTTCTCTCCGAATTTGCTGATGCTGAGCTGCCTCTCTGTTGAGTCGGTTCTCGACTGCCATGATGAATTCAGCGCGGTGAGTGCCTGTACGCAGTGCATCCATGAGCGCTTCGCGATTCCATCTGACTGGTTGGTAGGCGAAGCCATATCTCAATGCAGACTGCATGTGAGTTGCCAGCCCAAGTACTGATTCCAACGAGTATTGGAGTCGGACGTGTACAGGGATATGGTCCCGATGATGCCGAGAGGGTATTGTCTGCAATTCCGTCGCCAATCTACGCAAAGGTCCTGCACTGGTAACCGCCGAGATCAGACATCTTGGTACTAAAATAAAATCCAGCTGTGAGCTAGTGCCAGTAGAACTGTAAAACGTTGGTCCTCCTCCCCTGAAAGTATTGATCGGTACCAGATCCAGTTGTTCAAGTACAGGAAGTAAAATGTCAGCTGCATAACGTTGACGTGATGCTGGTGCTGCCGATCCGATACAGCTGGAGGAAATCTCCGTCCATTCTTCTTGTCCAGGTGCTCTTTGAAGTCCAAACCCTGAGTTGAGGTCTAAGCATACTATCGGTAGACATCTGTGCGCACACCAGAAGGGTAATCTCTGCAACCATTTCACCAACATATCGCAAGTGCGATGTAAGCTGGGATGCTGCGCGCGTGGTGAGGGGGAGGAGGAAAGTACATGCTGCAGATGCCGAGGTCGAACTGCTTGCTCTTTACTCTGATGGCCAGGCCACGCCCAGCCGCTGCTTGAGGAGCCGTCCAGACGCCGACGACATTCCTGCGGGGGATACGTGGGCCCAGGATGATGGCGCATCCAGCGGATTTGTTTGAGTAGGGTCCTCGCTTCCAACCGTGTGAAACACACCAGCGTTTGGGCCCAGCTCGTCTCCATTGCGCAACCTCCTGTCCCTGCTGCTGTTCTGCTGTACCATTCAAACAAACGAAATCCATATTTCCTGTGTTGTGGGCGATCTCATGCAATCTCGTCGGGCTGCTGGATGAAAGAGGATTATATTGCAAGATCGAGACGTGCTGCATCGTAGACAAGGCCAGCGGCCGCCGTTGTACTGTTCGCCGATGCACTAGTGAGATGCAATGCAACTTTAGCAGAACATGACACAATTGTGAAGTGCGAAGGGGGCTGGTAGGCTGCATTGAAGGATGGGTGGATGAAAGGGGTGCCCGAGCCAGAGCACTTGGAGAGAGGAGAGGAGAAGGAGGAAGCGAAAATCCAAAATTGAAAACTTATTATATTTAATTTGTAAACGCTTGATGAAAATTAAAATTTTCATCTGCTCGTGTAGGGGAGCTCGTGTGCTTAGTTTTCCCAGGTAATCAACCCCAGCGATAAACAAGTTCAGGGCGCCAGGGGGAGGAGGAGAAGAGATAGAGAGAGAAAGAGAGAGAGAGAGAGAGAGAGAAAAAAGAGAGAGAGAGAGAAAAAAAAAAGAGAGAGAGAACAGAAACAGAAACTAAGAGAGAGAGAGAGTTCAAAACTTCCTTCTTATGTTATTATCTCAACATAAGAAGGAAGTAACATCGATGGCAAACTTTCCCCGTGATAAGGAAGTTCGGCCTCCGCGCCCTCCGCCTCTATTTGAAAACCGTCGAGGCCGAGGATAAAAAACTCAAACTACTTAAGGGGGGGTACTTTATTATCGTGGGTTCGGGGTTAAAACAAAAGTTCTTCTTCTAGCAACACCCATCCCCGTGTGTAGCCACATCATCCTTGTTCCACTTGCCGACATCTGCTCAACCGACCTTCAAAAACGGTGGTTCCACGCTGCGAATCTGGCAAGGGCACAAATCTGGCTCTTGGATGAACTGGCCAGTGGCTGCGCATTCGTCGAAACTGGGGGCATGGTTGAGCACCTCAACGTGTCCCCGTCGCTCTCTGCTGTCACGCCTCGGGCAGCCAGGCAATGAAGACAACAAGTGCAGCGGCAACTAGGGGTGAAAGGGGACGCAGGGGGGGGCACCAAGGGAAAATACATGCTTCTCGGCCCATACGTGGAGGCTCCGCCTCCTGATGCTGGAGGCCGGCAATCTTGAGGCCGACGCAACTCAAATGAGACACGATGCCAACGACTGAACCCAAACACCTGATTTGCGCAACTTCCGTCAAGCCTGTGTGTCTTGAGATCCGCGTGCGGTGTCTTATCTGCGGAACCCTGAATCTGGGACCTCATGCGTGCGAGACCCATGCGTGTGGGCACTTGCTTATGAAACGCACTGTAATATGAAACGCGATGTGGGTGGGAAGTGCCTACCACCAGAACTCCTTTTCAAACAGAACTGAAAGGAAACGATGCAGCGATTACTCCCTCGGACATCACCCGGGGCGCGTTCCGACGAGAATGTTGAGGCGAATCCGATACTGGCGAAGACGGCCTCCCAGGAAGGCGAAACTCGGGTCGGGCGAAAGGGGGGGATAGCAAAGGGGGGGTTTGAGAATCAACCCACGACGCTGATTTTCCCGGAGCCTCCCGGCGCCGGAGGCGCCTATGTATCAAGGAATGGGCCCCTCGGTGCGGCCGAAACCAACTGCATGCAGCAAATTTCGTAACCCCCCCTTTCCCTATCCCCCCCTTTCGTCCGGCCCGAGAAACAGGGGGGAGCGCTCTCTGGAGTGACAAGGAATGCCTGCTGGGACTTGTGAAGACGGGACTTCCGAGAGGACGATGCATGCCATCGTCGTCGACGCAACCTGACCTACATGACTCTGGTCCTCCTCCGCTCTCTGCCCCTCTTCATCCTCCTCCCTCTTGCTCCTCCTTCCTGTTTTTCTTCCTCTCCTTCCTTCCTTCCTTCCTTCCTTCTTCCTTCCTTCCTTCCTTCCTTCCGTTCTTCCTTCCTCCCTCCTTTCTTCCTTCCTTTTTACTCCTTCCTTCCTTCATTCCTTCCTTCTTTTCTTCCTCCTCCCTCTTGCTCCTCCCTTCCTTCCTTCCGTCCTTCCTTCCTTCCTTCTTCCCCTCCTCCTCCCTCTTGCTCCTCCCTTCCTTCCTTCCTTCCTTCCTTCCTTCCTTCCTTCCTTCCTTCTTCCCCTCCTCCTCACCCTTCCGCCCGCCCTCCTCCTTCCTCCTCCACCATCCTCTCTCACCTGGGCTGCTCCCCGGGCCGCCCGCCTCCCACCAGGGAGGGAGGGGGAGGGAGGGATTGAGGAGGAGGAGGGTCGGATCGAGGAGGAAGAGGAGGAGGAGGAGGATCGGATCGAGGAGGAGGAGGACAAAGAGGAGGAGGAGGAGGAGGAGGAGGAGGAGGAGGAGGAGGAGGAGGGGGAGGAAGAGGAGGAAGAGGAGGATGGGGGGAGGAGGAGGAGGAGGAGGAGGAGGAGGAGGAGGAGGAGGAGGAGGAGGAGGAGGAGGAGGAGGAGGAGGAGGGAGAGAAGAGCCTCCCCGCCCCTGCGCGCTGGCCCGGCGTGGAGCCCGAACTGGTGGTAGCCCTCCGCGAAGTGCAGGAGGCCCCCCTCCTTCTCGTCCAGGTCCTCGCGGACGCCCACCCACCCTCGGGATGGCCGGGAGGTCGAGGCAGCTGGGGGCAGGGCCCCTCAGGGCCTGGCAGAGCCAGGTCGGCGAGGAATCGGCGGGTCGCCCGCTGAGAAGGCGGCGGGGCTGAGCGGAAGCCCTCGCGCCGTCAAAGGGGCCTGTTGCTGGGCACATTGTCCGAAGCCATGGGCGGTTTCCGAGGCCTGCCCAGGAGGAGAGGAGGGACGGGGGAAAGACGGAAGCGAGGAGGAGGAGGAGGAGGGACAGGAGGAGAGGAGAGGAAGAGGAAGATGGCCTAACCTCTTCTGAATCCTTCAAGCGCCCCTGGGAAACCTTGGGGACCTCCGGCCCGACACGTGGCCGCAAGGGGGGGAGGGCTGGACGGAGGGAGCTGACACGGGGAGGGGAGAAGGGGCAGGACGAGGTCCCCAACAAGTCTTCAGGCCAAAGGCCAACAAGCCCCCGGGGGGCACCCCAAAAGACCCTCATCCAAAAAGACCCGCTCGGAAAAAAAACAACTCATCCAAAAAGATGGCGGGATGGGCAGAGGCCAGTACACATGTACGCATGCAAACATATGTGTATACATATATACATACGCACATATATATATACACACGTACACATCCATACACCTATGCACACTCACGCATATATATATAGAGAGAGGTATGTACACATGTGTGTACATATACTTATACACGAAGAGGGGGTAAACTTGAGACAGAGAGAGAGGGAGAGAACCAGGGAGACAACCATCTTCGACATGAAGCACTTTCTTATACAAAAGAGGGCGAGAGAGAGAAAGAGAGAGAAAACAACACTTCTCTGACCATCCGCGTATCTATCCAACATTGCGTGGGGGAGGGGTCCTGTGGATCTCTTAGGGACGTTGTAAACTGTCTGGAGGTCATGTTGGGTCATCTCGGGGCCTTCTAGGGCCCGTCTCAGCCGTCTTAGAAACGTCCCTTGGGAATGTCTGGAACCCCTATTGGGCCGTGCTGCGCGCAAACCCTCCGTGCGGCCTCTGGGGCGTTTGGCGTCCTCGTGGGCTCCCTCCCTGGGGCCCTTCTGTAGCTTCTCCTGCCCACCCTCGGGGCCATCTGAAGGTACACGCGTATGTTGATGTATGTGTATTGTACGTATGTGTGCATGTCTAAATGTTCGAATGTACATATACATGTATTGGTGATCACCCATTCCAATAACCATAATACATGTCACGTAAGGTTATTCTCCCCGTGCTCGCACCCTGTTCTTTTACAAAAAATGAAGAGTCACCAAAGTGCGCTGTCGGGCCCCGAACTACAGCAACAACAACAACGGCTCCCGCCTGATACTTCCTCGCAAGGTATTCCAAAATCGCGCTCTCGCGCGGCACGACCTCAGAATGTATACAGGAATCGCACTTTCGCGTGGGACGCCCTCGCAAGTTGTTCAAACGCCGCGCCTTTCGACAACGCTTTCGCTGTATATTTCCTCACGATGTATTTGGTGATCGCGCTATCGCTCGAGATTTCCTAGCGATTCATGCAGGACGCACGTTTCATCAACCCGCCTGCCCCTTGTCCCTTGCTTCCAGTCGTCCTCTTCATCTGTCGTAGGGGCTGCACGAAATATATGTTACAGGCAAGATAGATAGAAACCTTTAGGGTGTATAATCGAAAACAAGCAGGGCGGTATCGAGGGTTTGGGATCTACGTGTTGAATGGCCCGCGAGTGGATACGAGCGAACCAACTTGAAATCATTGTAGTTGTTGTTGATGTTGTTGTTGTTGTGTTTCTTGTTGTCGTTGTTGCTGCTGTTGGTTGTTGTTGTTGTTGTTGTTCATGTCGTCGACGTCCTCGTGGACGTCGTTGTTGATGGTATGGTTGTTGTTGCTGCTGCTGTTGTTGTTATTGTTGCTGCTGCTCTTGTTGTTGCTGATGTGAAACACTTATTTCTAGATAATAATGACTGCTGGTGTTCGGAAACGATTTCGCGCGCTCTCGCCTCGACGACGGCCATATGTCCTCTGAAAACGAAGCTTCCGCGCGAGCTTTGGCTTGAGTGTAAATGTTTGCCCTTGGAGGCCCAGCTACAACGACAACGGCTCCCACACGATACTTCCTCACACTTTACCCCGAGACATCTTGGCCAGAGAGGCCCCCCAACTCAGGAACGGCGCTCTCGCTCGAGACTTCCTCGCAATGCAGTCAAGTTGGCGGAGGCCCACCCTTGACAAAGGCTCCTGCTCGATAGTTCCTCACGGTTTACTCTGAGAACCCCTGGCCAGGAAGGCCCCCGAACTCAGGAACGGCGCTCTCGCTCGAGATTGTCCCGCGATCCACTCAGGTTGGCGGAGGCCCAACTACGACGACAAGGGCTCCCGGTCGATTTTCCCTCAAGATGTATTCGCAGAGGCCTTTGCCAGAGAGGCCCCCGAATTCAACAGTGGCGCTCTCGCTCGAGATGCCCTCGTCATTCACTCAGGTTAGTGGAGCCATCAAGCTGTACTTCAAGACCCCGTGGCCAGATACTGAAATTCAGTAGCGGCGCCGGAGGCCCACCTGCGACGACAAGGGCTCCCGCTCGACACGCGCTCGCAATGTACTCCCAAACGCCCTGGCCAGAGAAACCCCCGAACCACATTGGCCCAAGCGCGCTGCTCATTGAGGCCTTCGGACACAGCCCACAAAGCTGCAAGCGCGCCCACAGGGGGTCCAGCACGCTGCCCATTGAGGCCCTCGGACACTGCCCACGGAGGCCCCCGCGCGCCCACAGAGGTTCCAGCACGCTGCCCACTGAGGTCCTCGGACACAGCCCGCAGAGGACCCAAGCGCACCCACAGAGGCCCCAGCCGACAGAGGCCCCAAGCGCGCCCACGGAGGCCCCCGCGCGCTGCCCCCGAGGCCCCCAACACACCCCACAAGAGGCCCCGAGCGCGCCCTCAGAGGCCCCTGCCGACAGAGGCCCCAAGCGCGCCCACAGAGGCCCCAGCGCGGTGCCCACTGAGGCCCCCAACACAGCCCACAGAAACCCGAATCCACAGAGGCCCCAAGCGCGCCCACCGAGGCCCAAACGCGCTGCTCACTGAGGCCCCCCAACACAGCCCACAGAGAAACCAAGCGCGCCCAGAGGCCCCAGCCTGGCCCCAGCCAGCAGAGGAGCCAGACGCGCCCACAGAGGCCCCCGTGCGCTGCCCACTGAGGCCCCCCAACACAGCCCACGGAGACCCCAAGCGCGCCCACAGAGGCCCCAGGCCACAGAGGCCCCAAGCGCGCCCACTGCGCTGACCACAGAGGCCCCCCGACACAGCCCACTGAGGCCCCAGCCCGCAAAGGCGCAGCTACGATGACAAGGGTTCCCGCTCGATATGTCCTTGCGAGTTACTCCGAGAGGCTCGCTCGCTCTCGTGCGCCATCCTTATCCCTCCCCCATCCGGCCTCTCTTCTCCTGTTTTAGAGGCTGGGCGAAATGTCCTTGGCAGGTGGGGAAGATATGCTCCCGAGGGGGCGCGGTCGAAAACGAAGGGAACGGGCGTCGAGGCTTTTGGATATAAATTTTGAGCGCCACGCGATCAAATAAGACCGAACAATATTAACATGATCGTGGTCGTTGTCGTTATTGTTGATGATGGTGTTGCTGTTGTTAATGATGTGTATTGTTTGTTGGCGCCGACCCGCCCGCGACTCGGCCATCGACCCACCCGCGACCCGCCCGCGGCGACCCACCCGCGATCCGCGACCCACACCGCAACCCACGCGCGACCCGCACGTGACCCACCCGCGACCCACCCCTCGACGCGCCCCGCGCCCGCCCGCGACCCGCCTGCGACCCGCCGCACAATCCACCGCGACCCACCTGCGACCCACACGCGACTCAGGACCCAACCCACCTGCGACCCACGCGCGACCCACCCGCGAACCACCCGCGACCCATCCGCGACCCACCCGCACCCGCCCGCGGCACACCCCGCGACCCACCCACTTATCGCCCGCGAGTTTGAAGGGGGCTGAGAGGCCCAGCCAACAGCTTCGCCTTAGGCGAAGCCAAACTCCAGCTCTGTTGTACTGTAATAGCGATAGTCCCAGTAGGAAAGGATGTGCCATCTTAAGCAAGAGGAAGATCCGTTTGGCCTCGATAGCGATTGTGCCTCGCGATGAGGCGCAATCATACTTGGGCGGCCGGCCGCTTGGGCCGACGCGGCCGCGGGCACGCGTTCGCTCCCGCTCCTTACGAACCCTCAGCTCGCTTTAGACGGGGGGGGGGGGAGACGAAGCGTGCCCGTCGCCCCGGCACAGCAGGCACAGCAGCTAATAGACACAAGGACAGAAGAAGGGGCGGGCCAGAAGGATGGTGGACCCGCTCGCAGGTTGCCTTGCTTGCACAGCTCTGTACTTAAAAATACTCCTCCGGCCAAGACAGAACTAGATGTCTGGCCGGCCCGATACGGATTATGAATCTTCAAGTCATGTTTGAAGGCCTGTATACCTCCCATGACTTGTAAGGGCATTTCTCTGTCAATGCTCCCCTTGGTGTGACCATCCGCGGTCATGTCGCGGGTGTCCCACCGCTGAATGCCGTGCGCGATTCCACGCTCAATCATCTGTCGTATCCAACTGATGTGTCTTAAAAGGGTACACTCAATCGGCGTCTTCAAGTCTTTGCTTGACATGGGCTGAAAAGACAGACTCAGCATCGATGGCCAAAATGACCTTGATGCTCAGGCCACCCGACTCAATTACACCTTGTTTTCATCTGTGTGGGCGTGAGCGGACCTGCGTGGAGCTCGTGCAGAGTCACAATCGTGGGATAACAGTCCTCCGAATTATGGGCGGCTGCTAGCGTCTCTGCTTAATAGCTCGAGCGGACCTGCAAGCGGTTTGCAGTGCGCATCGAACAAGTGAACGACAGGTTTACCAGATGACGTGTTTCCACGTCGTAGCAGGTTTGCCCCGCGAATGCCATAGCCTTTGACGTCGTCATCGGCGTCTCCACTCAAGCGTCGGTATCCTG